GGAAGGAGACTTTCTGATGGATCGTCGATCCCAGCGTGCTGCACCTTTGGAAAAACCATATCACGGTGAGTGAAATTCGGTAGACGGAACCCTTGGGGACCGACATTAGCTATGCTAGCACGAAGTCACAAGTCATCATGGCCGAGGGCGTAAACATACTGACCTTGTTAAAATTGTTGATCACTCTAGATAACACATTCTTTCCCAGAAACTGTAACTAAGGTCTGCTCAGCATAGTTGCAGTGTAAACCACAGGTTGGTTCTGTAGATGTTATAATAAACATAAATGCGCCTGAGCAAGCGTCTGCAATAGGGATTGACTAACCGCCTTCGAATACGAGTGGCTATCTATAGTGTTTGTTTTAATACGCTTTACTTTATACGCCATACTCTCTGTTTTAATGTGTGTCTTAACGTGTGTGTGTGTGTGTGTGTAATTGTATGTCTTTTATTGTTTGCCAATTGTGTGTTAATATATGTGTTATAACGTCGGTGATAATATGTGTATTTGTATGTGTGTTAGTATTTGTGTCTTAATGCCTGCTTTTGATGCCTGTCTACGTTGTTTTCTGTGTTTGATTCTGTACGCGTGCTAAATAACTTCTTTTTTTTTATATTCCTTGCATTGTATTGCCAAAATAACAGAAATCATTATATTTCGTATTTTAATCTTCGCCGTTTTTGTTTTTTTTTTTTTTTTTTTTTTCTTCCAATTTATTTCACCGGCTTCCTGTCCGACCTCGACACCAAACGCAAGTATTTCATCCATTTTCTAAGCCAGATCAGAACAATTTAATTTTCTGCTGTGTGACTGTTCTTAATATTATGAATGTGACGATCTACAGTAATAATTATTTAAATCTTTAATGAAACCTGCGACATCTGTTTACGGAATCGAATAAAAACAACCGGTTTCTGAGTACATCGACTATGCGACAAAATGATTATCTTTCAAAATCAATCATTTATTTAGTTTTATTGTTAATTTTTGATTGCTACTTTTTCCTTCGCCGTTCTTTTGTCTTTGTTCTTTATCGCAACTTTTTGGTTATTTTAACATCCGGCGACTGCTGGGTAATTAAAGGTACTGACGAGATTTGAACTCACGTGACAAAAAAAATGAATATTTACGACAACGCTTCATCTAGGAAAAAAGTGATGACTATTATATCTAATATTAAATGCTTAAATAAACCAACTTTGTTGTGACTGAAGAAGAGAATTTAACTTATGGAACATTCACAGTTAAATAGACTCCCAGTGATTATGGGTACGAGTTCAAAACCTGCTGGGAATTTATACATTACTAGCAGAATAATCGTTTTTCTAAATACACAAACATGAACGCAATCCTATAAGTTCACTAAGACTTGTATCAATTGCTTTCAAATAATGCTGACTGTCGGTTTAAAAATATTGATTTTATGAGAACTGTTGCTCCGAAGCAATTAAGAAAATAATTTTTTATTTGATGAAAATTATCAAAAACAGACATAACACTTAAAATAAAATTGTATTATATTTTTTAAATGTTTTATGACTTTTTAAAATAACGCTGTAATTTATATAATTACTGTATGCAAAAAAATTAAAATCACGAATATTTTTCAATGCTGATTGTATAATTTATTCCTATTCATGACTTTTCCAAAGGTATTAGTACAAAGTGAATACGCATTATCTCACTTGGAATGTGGGCATAATTTTCTTTCTTCCTCTATTAGCATCTACCACACTTGTCCGCTTATGTGACTCTCAACTACATGACATACCGGACTTGTGAGTAAAGAGGGCGTTTTGTAACACCTACTAGCTTGCATTTTTAGGGTGGGAAAGAAGGCATGTAACAAATTGCTCTAGTTTATGAACATATTCGCTTCATAGAAAATAAAATCTTCATTTATGATCTTTTGACTTATCTCTATCAGGCTTTATTATTATTATTATTATTATTATTATTATTATTATTATTATTACACATTTTCTTCCGGGTCCCAACCAGAGACCTAAGGTCAGAAAAGGTATCATGATATTGAACATTTTTTTACCCTAAGGACATACACATTTTACATCGATAATGATCTTCGTGAGGTGTGAGCTGTACTTATAAGAACAAATTGTTTGTATTTCTTTAAGCCATGAGCTATCAGGGATCCTTTCAATGAATCTATCAGAACCTTTTCTAATCAAACCAATAAAATCATCATTATTATTATTATTATTATTATTCAGAGTTATCTTCCCTTAATGTTCAGTTTTGTTCATTTTTTCCACCAATCGTTTTTGTAAAAAAGTAAAAAAAAGATCACACATATTTTGTACATATAAAGCTCTTCGTAATGTGTGAGCAATACTTGTGAGAACAATTTTTTGCATTTCTTTAAGGCATAGGCTACCAAGAATCCGTCCAATGAGTCTATTGAAACCTTTTCCAATCAAACCGAGTGCTCCAACTACAACTAGAATTACTGATGCCCTCATGTGCCACATTTTTTAGATTTCCACTTCAAGATCCTTGTATTTTGATAGTTTTTTTTTTCCAGAGACAGATATGCAGTGTGTTTGGTCCTGATCTGACATCTTGTTTACAGTCGCTCTATCACAGACGTGCCGTCACCTCTCTCTGTCTTTTCTACAAATATTTCACGGTAACTGCTCCGACGAGCCTTTTTCGCTAGTTCCCAAACTACGTGAATTTAAACGTGCCACTAGGTCGGCATCTCATCCCACCCTTTTACTGTCGAAATGGTTAAATGTAGCCGTCTCTTCCACTCCAATAACTTCATGTCTCGCACTTCCTGTCTGTGGAACTGCCTTCCTCTTGCTTCCCTGATAGCTATAATCTCCAACTATTCAAATACAATGCCCATCGACATATCCAGATGCCTTGATCTATTCCCCGTTCTTCTCTTTATCTTTTCCTCTTTCACGTCTCTTTACTCTTGCTCCCACCTTCTATAAACCCTTGCGTGCTAGTGGCACTCCCGCCTTGCTTGGGGTGAAAATCTTTTAAAAATTCTTCAAAGATTCATTACACTCTGCCGGGAGTGCCATGTCAATAAGTAAAGTACATTCTATTTTTGTGGTCTTTAATCACATTGTCAGGGCGGTTAGCTTTGATTGTTCTGTCTCTGTGTATTGTGAAGTCCCATAAAATTATTACAGGCCCTATCTCCGTAAACGGATCTGGGTGATGTTCATACCAATCTCTTGCAATTTCCTACCCGTAAAAGTTGCATTATGTTTCGGGGTAGATATTGGCCAATTCTATCATACCGAGTTTTCTATTCAGTGATTGCTAATACCATTCAACATGATACAAGATGGCCAATTGATTCTGGATATTTATCACAGAATCTGCATTTCGGATTAACATAATTTTTCAGTATGTGTGCTTGGTAATTTCTAGTTAGCAAGCATTAGTCTTGTGCAGCAAGAATAAAACTTTCGGTTTAAGCTTTTAACTATGAACTACGTAGCCACGGAGTACGGAGTTTGTCAACATCAGCTTGTTTGGTACGACATGAAGAGGCTTATTTTCCCGTCGTTTGCGTTTGTTTGTTTTTTTTATATCTTTTAGCTTTTTTGCCACTGCAGTAGATGTATTATGGCTTAATTGCACTTCTTCACCCACTTGAAATTCCCTTTTAAATTGTTGGCTTCCTTTATTATTGAATAAAGATTCATATTACTTGCATGTTCTTCTGTAGTTTTCAGGTACCGATTGTTGTAGTTTTGTAAGACAATTCTAGTTGAACTAATCCTCTGCCTCCTTTGGATCCGGACACATACAGACGATCATCATCAGCATTATTATTACTATTATTATTATCAGGAATGTTTAAATAATTACAGATATCGGCAGCCAGGTACAGCAAGGCAAGCGAACATATATTTAGCAATTCAAATAGAATTCGAACTCAGTTCTCCTATTTCATTTTTATACTCGTAACCGCTGAACTCATGGTTCTTTTTTAGTAATAAACATTTGTAGAGGCATATATAATTAGAATATTTCCGTTTTATGCAATTTCACGTAAAAAAGAGGTCCTTTCCATTTTAATCAAACATGTATCGAACACTAAGGACCTCAGACTGACCTGCGGTGACCACTAATAATTCCAAACTGACTTATGGCGACCTCTAATACCCTCCATTTGACCCGTGGAGACCTGTAGTAACACCAAACTGACCTGCTGCGACCTCTAATAACCTCCACTTGACCTGTGGCGACCTCTTACAACCTCAAATTGACCTGCGATGGATAATAACGATAAATTGACCTGTGGCAAACTCGAATAAACTCAGATCTTTATCCCTTAATCAAAATATTGGCCGATCATAAAATGTATACAAGACTTTATATAATGTATAAAGCATATATGTACAAGTCTCTATATAATTGCTGGCATTATAATAAAGGATTTAGGATTAAGACCTGAGATTGACGATAAAAAGCAACAGAAACAGGATTAAAGTTCTAAAATACTTCGTATTATCAAATAACAATTCCAAGAATTGATTTATTTTATGTGTTGTCCGGCATAATTTACCAAATAAACATTGATTACAAATCAATGTGTAAAATTATTTTTATTACTTTTTTTTTTAATTTCATGATTGAAAGGAATGAAGATTCTTTGTTGATATTGTTGCAGTTTTAAGGAAATAAAATTGGAAAATTGTTTTCCATTTTTTTTATTTGTCGTTACGTTGTTTGAAAATTTATTAAAGCATTTTTGAAACAAAAAACTGCCGACATCAGAACGGAAGTGAAGCATAAATCGCCAGACACTTCCGGACTGGTATTGCGGAATTAGTCTGACACTTCCGGTTTGTGACAACGGAAGTAACTGGTTGCACTGAGAATAGCTAGACGCCTCTCTCGAGGAAATAGCCGGCGACGTCAAACCATCACATAACTGGCTACTTTCATCTTCAGCTACCGGTTTTCAACGCGGTCTGGCGCTAACATAAGTGAGTCCCAAAAACTTCGAAAGGATTTAATAAACTTTTTCTTCCTCTCTCTTTCTTCCTCTCGCATCTTCGCTCTTTTCCTTCGTCTCTCTCTCTTCACCCTCTCTCTCTCCACTCTCTCTCTCTCTCTCTCTCTCTCTCTCTCTATCTATCTATCTATCTACGCGGCCATCTCTTCTCCTTCTTTCTTTCTTTCTATCACTCTTCTCTGACTGTCTCTTTTCCCTCTCTACCTCATTCCATCTGCTTTCGATTTCTGTATCTCTCTCTCTCTCTCTCTCTCTCTTTTTCTCTCTTTTCCATTCTCTTTCTCTCTCCCTCACATCTTTCTCTCCCATTTTATGTCTCTACATCACTGTACATTTCTGTTTATCTCTACCAACTATCTATCTATCTATCTATCTATCTATCTATTCATTTTCTCTCTCTCTCTCTCTCTCTCTCTCTCTCTCTCTCTATTCCTTTTTCTCCTTTCCCCAACTTTCTTCTCTCTGACTTTATATCTCACTCTCGCTCTATATCTTTTTCTATATTCATTGTCATGATCTCATTTTCACTCGCTCTATTACTTTCTCACCTTCTCCTCTCTCTCTCTCTCTTTCTTTCTCTTTCTCTCTCATTCTCTCTCTCTTTCTTTCTCTCTCTCTCTGTGTCTTTCTATGTCACGTTGATTCATTAAGTTATATTCTGTTTCTGATTTAGTTTTATATTTTTTTTAAACCGAAAACAGGTTTTTGCTGTAAAATTTTGCCTTTCATTACCTGATTGTGTATCTTTCCCAGTTTGTATCAAATTGATTAATTCTACTGCAGATTAACTAATTACCAATATCTTGAAGGCAGGTGCTAACGAATACGAGCATCGCTAGACAGTCAAATGCGTCGCATAACAAAGCTTATAATCCGTATTCTGATGAATCGAGTGCATAGCAGAATTAAACCGGATATCGGATAGGAACCGCGCGTTTCGTTTATAACACTTGAACAAGGAATGTAATATTTATGCTCGGATCGTGAAGATCGAATTTTCGTCCGTACTGAAGTGCTGTGGCGGAACCGTGCCACGAAAAGAACAAAAAACGCTTAAAAATACAAATATCATAACAAATAACGAAGATGGTCGATTCATTTGATTTATATAGTCGTTGATACAACAAAATTAACACTTCCTCTTAAACTCTCTATCGTGACACCGTGTCTCTTGCTACTAAAACTTGGAGCGGTTAAAATACTCAAGGAAATATGTCGATCAGGAATTCTCTTGGCAACAGGTTACATGGGGTTCAACAGCTCTTCCACCGCAGCTGACTCGTCTCGTCTTTGTCACTCACTCCAACTGCTGGTTTCAACTAAACGTTCGGTCTATATGTATTTCGCCCGACTCCTTTCCGCACCTCATCATTTACGATACGACACAGACCCTCAAACAAAGCAGTCAGCTATTCACCAACAATACATTCCTCGACGAACAAACTTTGTTTAACATTCCTTTCGACAATCGGCCGCTAATCCAAAATATTTTTTAACAAACTTTTGGGTTTACAAATGATCTCTATTTTCCCTGACGTAAAAAAAATCCATTAAAATCTCATTGTTTACATTTTGGCTTTACTCAATTCGTTTCTCGGCCGACAGTCAACATCCGGAGAACTGACACTGAGCTTCAAACAAAAGCGGTCAGTTCTGCGAAACAATAATTTTCCGATAACAACTTCTGCGTTTTTAAAAATTATTTCTGCCGTCCAAGAATTTTTTCCTTCTTTTCAATATGACCGAAATACTTTTCTTGCACATTTCAGAGTGTTTACATTCTCGGCCTTGCAATTCTTTCAGCTTACATTTTACATTTCTCAAATCTCAGATTGCTTACATCACCGGCCTTGCAAATAATAATTCAATTTGCCTGGTTATTAGAAAGTAGAAAAAAAATACATTTCTTTTTTTTTTCTTCGCTTCATATTTCAATTCATGTTTTCACCTTAAGGTTTTCAACGTTTTAACCTTTCCACTCCTCCAATTCCTATACAGGGTTTTCAGATGAACCCTTTTAATCCTAATCTGATACTACCAATGTCACAATAGTGTCACAAACGTATAGAAAAAGGATTCAGTATATAAAAAAAATAAAAAGGGGTGTAAGACAAAGATATGTTTTCTCGCCAAAACGCGAAAGATAAGTCGTACAATAATTGATTATTGACGGCCAGAATCTTAACAACATTAGATAAGCTGATGACACAGTGTTGATAGCAGACACAGAAAGGAAACGAAAAGAACTTCTACAGAAGGAAAGGAAGAAGCCAAATTACGAACGACAAATTGGAAAGACAAAAATCAAGCATGTAGAATTTAAATATCTAGATAATGTTTTAACAGAGGGCGGAAAATGCGACACCAAAATCAGAAAACGCATTGGAATGCTGAAATATGCTTTCCAAAAGCTAAGCAAAGCATTAAGAAACACGAAAATTTAGTTAGAAACAAAGAAAAGACTGCTAAACTGTTATGTAATATCGATCCTCCTATACGATAGTAAATGCTGGACAATCTTCTCAGAGATGAAGGAAAGACTTGAAGCAATAGAAATATGGCTCTACAGAAGGATGCTGAGGATACAATGGACAGAAAATGTGAACAACGACGGATTTGTGGGAAAAATATAAACAAAAAGGACATTTTTACTTAGAATCAGTGGAACTGTCTAGGATATATAATGAGGAAAGCAGGCTTAGAAAATTTGGCACTCACAGGAAATAAAAGGACGTAATAAAGCAACGAATAATTTATCTACCGAACCTGTGTAAATGGTTGTCTGAACAGGGATTAGGAGGGATGGCAAAAAGCCAAACATTGCTAATAGGTACGAAGGAGATGAAGTTGTGGAGAGCCATGTTCAGCACGTGTTGAAAGAACATGGCATAATAATCTATTAAGTCTTTAATTATAGATAGATAAATAGATAGATCAACGTGTTTTAGTGGACTCAGTAGTTTTCAATCAGTTTTTCGGAATCGTATTCAAGAAGCGAGAGCAAGATCTAAAAGGTCAGCCAATCTAACAGTGATCTCATCCTACAATCCTAACTCTTGCTTCATATGCGGTCTCCTTTGTAAATCACTAGCGAGTCTTAAGTGCCACTTAAGATTATCGCACAAAATTTTATCAATTGTATCTGAATCAATTAAGAGAGAGTCCATTATATATATATATATATATATATATATATATATATATATATATATATATATATTTTTTTTATTTTTACAAACATGAAGCAATCGAGATGTGGTTTTATCGATGAATGATAAAGTTCTCAGAAAAATAGAAAATACACAGAAATTACTCATATCAATTAAGTGATAGTTCAAATACTGTGTACACCTCATGCGAGAAAAGGTTTGAACACATCGGATGCAAGAGGCAGCTACTTACGAATTAATGCAGAAATACATACTACAGAAAAGGAACGCTTAGAAATGAGCATGTATTGCTGAGAGCTATAAAAGATGTGGAGGACCATGATCAAAGACTTATAGATGTCATTTAAATTAGCGTGGATTGCAAACAAAAAATAAATTCTTGCCGAAATTTGAACTCTAACTTTGAACTTTCTAACATTGACGGCTGGAAGAGAATGAAAACCCAAGATGTCCCCCACCATCTTCGTTTCAACCCTGTCAGCAAGCGTGACATGAAGTCAACGAATATGAACGGAGAAGTGGGCGGATATTGCAAGTTATCGCTATCGCCGCAGGGTGGAACTATACAAAGGTCTAAAAAGAGGAGGCTGAAGTGTCCAAATGAAGAAATGAATGAGCATTAAGACAATACCAGCGGATAATGCCTTCAGGTGCAGTGAGGACTGCCACGCCCGTGCGCGCCACTACAACAACGGAGGCTTCTCTATCAATAAAGTGATGAAAGTCTTTCCAGACACAAATCCAATAACGGATGTCGCACACCAATTAGTCTAAGAAAGCTAATCAGTAGTTATCATTGCGAAGAAAAAGAAACAAAAATAAAAAGAAACAAAAGTAAAAAGAAACATTCGAAAATCAATAAGCTACAGAATAACTGTTACATGTTTCTTTTAATCTACATAATTATACTATTTTCTGCCTCTCTCTACTATTCGATTCTTTCTCACCTTCGCTCTCTTCCCTATCTACCTATATTCCATTTCACTCTACCCCTCTCTCTCTCTCTCTCTCTCTCTCTCTCTCTCTCTCTCTAATATACTGTGTCAGGTGATGAAAGGTTTTACACGCACCTATTGGTACTAGTAGTTGTCTTTTCTTCTTTCTTTTCTTGTCTTTCTTTGTTTCTTTCTCTATTTCTTTCTTTATTTTTCATTCGTTCTTTCTCTATTTTTAAATATTCTTTACTTCTCTCTTTCTTTCGTCCTTTTTATTTCATACTTTTTCGTGTTAATTTTTCTATTTTTCTTTCTTTTACTCTTTTTATTTCGCCCTTTCTTTATTGCTTCTTCATTCTAACGTCTTTCCTTTTCCCTTCCTTTTTCACTTTATCAGTATTATTATTATTATTATTATATATCTATTTTCCTTCATTCTTTTTATTTTGTTATTTTCTTTCTAAATTCTTGATTTCTTTTTTTTTTCTTCTTCTTGATTTCTTTCCTTCCTTCTCTGTTTTCTGCTATTTTTCTCTTTCTTTCAATCTTTCTTTTTGTTTCTTTGCTTCTCCCTTCATCATTCTTGTTTTCTTTCTATTCCATTTTTTCGTCTTCTTTCTTTTTTTCTCTCTTCGTCTTCCAATTCTTATCCCTTTATTTTCTACTACTTCCAATCTTCATATTACCTTTTTTTTCCATTCATCGATTTCAATTTTGGCTTACGGCCACATCACGTTGAAACACCGCTTCCCATAGGCTCACCGAAGTTAAGCAACGACGAACCTGGCCACAACCTAGATGGGTGACCGCTTGTGAATACCAGGCGCCGTAAGCTTGGATGTGCGGGTGATATAATTGATAATGGCGTAGAAATTTTAATTGTAGAGGCGAGTTCTAATTTCATTTGGGTTCGTTATATTCACTTACGCGCAAAGGCCCTTGGAAAAAGGCATGAATCCAACTCTTCTACCCCAGGGTAATTAATAAGACTTATATCACTAAAACCATTATTACACCCTTGTGCAAATTAATTGAAACAAAAAGAATAATTCCGTTATTATTTACTTTTTTTTCGCATTTTTCCAATGAAACATGACCAAGTGTACATATTAGTACTTCGTATGTCTGTTCCACTAAATCTTTCCTCGATTGGATTTAAATCAGGAGAGTTTCTGGGCCAGTCTATAGTACTTTGATTTGCTCACCGGTATTTCTTACCAGTATGTTCATGCAGCGTTACAATTTTCGTACGCTTCCTTACAGTAACGTCCATCGTGGGCTATGGCCATAGGATAACTAATCGACAGTCGAGACAATAGTGTCTGGGCGTGATAAAAATCTGATGCAATCACGGATGACGCAATATTTTTCAAAGCGAAACAAATTTTATCATACAGCCCGAAAAATAGATTCATATTACTGCACACCACTGCAATCTGAGGAAAAATAGAAATCGAGTACACCCTGTCACACCAATGGATCTAAAACTGACTGTATGGTGAAAGAAAGAAAACTAGAGTGGTTGTTTAAATCAATGTGCATCTCCGAAAAAATAAAATTGCTTACAAAATATTTAGATTTTGGCATTAACTAACCCAGAAAGGTTGATGCCGCTAAACAAAAACAACCAATTTATTTCAATGTTACAATTTTTTCTTATGTGCTTCCATATATTGTTCTTTTTCTTTTAAGTATACTTTTGTAGTAAATACAATGGCGTCGGGAACTGTCATGCCGGTCGGATTTGTTCAACTTGTAAAATAAGTGTGACGATTCAGATAAACGCTGGCATTTTTTTAATATATCTTTAAACAAAATAATCGTGCCGCAAGGGAAATTATATGGGAAACAATAAACAAATAAGCACCATGCCGGCAATTTTATTTGAAGAACAAGAGTATTCTTCCTTGTTTACCTATTATGATTTTGGCAAACATGGAACTTTGTGGCCGCAAAAAGACGGAGTGTTAAAAGGACGTTTCTTGCTATTATAACGCCATAATTTTAACTACCTTCAATCTTCGGTAATGGTTATTATCTTAAAAAGAGATTATTAGAATTATATTAAAACCTGAACATAACAAAAATGAATTTATACATTTTTTTTGTTCTTGAGAATTGACAACAAAAATAAGGACACATGGCAGAGTGGATAAAGGCGTTGGTTAGATCCAGTGACAGGACACAAAGAGTTGTGAGTTCAATATTTGGTTAAGGCAGTGGAGAAGTTGTAGAGGTGAATTAACAAGAGATAACTGATAACTGATATCCATTAGACATGGCACGTGGAACTAGAACAGTCTACCCCAGAGAGCGAAGCAAATTCCAACCACCGTACAATGGCCGAAACGTTGTGATAAAAATGGCAACAAAGATGAGGACAATAGTCTGAATAATGTAAATAGTGTACATAATACCTCATCTCAAAAATATAGACAGATACTGAATGGCCGAAACATTGTAATAAATATGGCAACAAAGATGAGGACAATAGTCCGAATAATGTAAATAGTGTACATAATACCTCATCTCAGAAATATAGACAGATACTGAAACGTCGAAACGTTGTAATAAATATGGCGACAAAGATGAGGACAACAGTCCGAATAATGTAAATAGTGTACATAATACCTCATCTCAGAAATATAGACAGATACTGAAACGTAGAAACGTTGTAATAAATATGGCATCAAAGATGAGGACAATAGTCCGAATAATGTAAATAGTGTACATAATACCTCATCTCAGAAATATAGACAGATACTGAAAGGCCGAAACATTATAATAAATATGGCAACAAAGATGAGGACAATAGTCCGAATAATGTAAATAATGTACATAATACCTCATCTCATAAATATAGACAGATACTGAAACGTCGAAACGTTGTAATAAATATGGCGACAAAGATGAGGACAATAGTTCGAATAATTTAAATAGTGTACATAATACCTCATCTCAGAAATATATAGAGAAAAATAATAGACATTATTTATTTATTCGATTGTTTGGTAGGTTTTACATTGCGTTTCTCTGCTTCTCTGGGCTTCAATATGTCCCGTGAGTGTCAAGTTTTCGAAGCCCTTTTTCCTCATTATGTGCCATAGAAATTCAAACTGACTCTTTCTGATGTTACATAAAAGTGTCCTTTTTGTTTCCATTTTCTCTAAACCTTTCTCGTTGCTCTCATGTTCAGTCCATGGTATTCTCATCGACTTCGGATTGCGGTATCGTATTATCCATCCTCTGTTAAAATACTTCCTATATATATATAAATTTTTGCACTTGTTTAATTTTGTTATTTCTAATTCAGTTTTCGCATGTTGGGCTTTTTCTTTTGCTGATAACATTGTCTTCTTAAAGGCTGTCAGAATCGATAACCTCGTGATGAAGCCCGGAGGATACAACGGCCGAAATGTTGTGATAACATCAGTAAAGATGGGGACAATAGTCTGCGTGTAAATAATATAAATGATGATAGAATCACATTCCAGAAATTGTTTACAGTCGAACTAATTTCCTCAACCTTATTAATACCTTTCGACCGTTACGTTCTCCAGCCTTCTTTAAGTGTTTTTATTTAAGTACATTTCTTGTGTTGCTTACTGATAGTCGTATTTCTATTAGGTCTGCGGGATTTAATCCAAAATTGCCAGCAAAAACAACGATTTAATCCTTTACGTTATTGGGATAATAACAACAAAGATAAGGACAACTGTTCGCATGTAATGATAATTCCTCATGCCAGAAATTCATAAATCTTTCATTTTCTTCTGTGCTTGTTTATCAAGACTTTTTAGTATTTTTCCTTCTCATGATTTGCTTATTTATTTTTTCCGCGTATTTATTTATTTTTCCCGCGTATTTTCTTTGCCCTTTTACTTCTGCATCCTTCCTCTCTTTTACTTCTTTCTCTATTTTCTTTCTCTTCCTCTCTTTTTTCTTCCTTCCTCTCTCTTATAACCTTTCCCTATTTATCAATCAGCTTTCTTTTCTAGCTTCTCTCTCCGTTTCTTTTCAACCCTATTTTACTTTTTCTTCCTCTTCTCAAATATGACTTTTTATTCCCTTATAACAATCCGTCAGTTTTTTTTTTCTTCTATTGGGCTTCTTTCTTTCTTTCTTTCTTTCTTCTTGAACTCTAAGCTTGTCTTTTTCTTTTCTCTTTTTTTACGGGTTTGAACTTTTCTTCTATTTTTCTCCTTTTTATATTTACTTTCAAATCCATTTACTTCTCATTCTTGTTTCTTTCTATCTTTCTTTCTCTAAATTTACGCTTCTTTTTTACTTTTTCTTTTTCTTCCACATTTTTTATTTTCACCTTCTTTTTCATTTTCGTTTTCTAATCCCCTTGAAATTTATTTTCTTTTATACTTTCTTTCTTTTTTAAAACCATTTGTATTTATATTTCGTTTCCTCGCCTTTTGCTTTTCATTATTTCTTCTTTCTTTCTTTTTTCTTTCTTTCTTTCTTTCTTTCTTTCTTTCTTTCTTTCTTTCTTTCTTATCCGATCCCCTTTCTTTCTTTATTTATTTCTTTCTTATCCGATCATCTTTCTTTCTTTCTTTCTTTCTTTCTTTCTTTCTTTCTTTCTTTCTTTTTTCCTTCCTTCCTTCCTTTCTTTCTGTCTTCCTTCCTTCCTTCCTTCCTTCCTTCCTTCCTTCCTTTCTTTCTTTCTTTCTTTCTTATCCGATCACCTTTCTTTCTTTCTTCCTTCCTTCCTTTCTTCCTTTCTTTCTTCCTCCCTTCCTTTCTTTCTTTCTTTCTTTCTTTTTTCCTTCCTTCCTTCCTTCCTTCCTTCCTTCCTTTCTTTCTTTTTTCCTTCCTTCCTTCCTTCCTTCCTTCCTTCCTTCCTTCCTTTCTTTCTTTTTTCCTTCCTTCCTTCCTTTCTTTCTTTCTTATCCGATCACCTTTCTTTCTTTCTTTCTTTCTTTCTTTCTTTCTTTCTTTTTTTCTTTCTTTCTTACCCGATCACCTTTCTTTCTTTCTTTCTTTCTTTCTTTCTTTCTTTCTTTCTTTCTTGCTTTCTTATCCGATCACCTTTCTTTCTTTCTTTCTTTCTTTCTTTCTTTCTTCGTTTTCATCATTTGTCTGTTTTCTTCATCTCATCCCCAATTTTATTTACTTTTTTTTTCTTATTCCTCCTTTTTATTCTTCTTTTAGCAACCATTACTTTCCTTTAATTCACTACTTCTTCTTTCATTACTGACTTTCTTTTTCATGTTTCTTTCCCTCCATCTTTTTTCCCCTCTTCCTTGCTTCTTTGCCCAATGTCAATATAAATCACACACTCTTGCATGCAACTCAAAACTTAGCCAATTGATAATTACACAAACGTCAGTTAAATATGACAACTTCATTATCCAACTGTCACATCGAAACAAATTTGATAAATCAAAAGGAATTTTCCTCCATCACAAACTAAACACACTATAGTTTAGGATGTCTGCGGAAACAGCCCCCGTTAATGGCCTCGGAACAACTAACACTACTGCAAACCTCATATCAGTCCGATATCATCCTCTCTCGGCTATTCAATTCGACATGCGCCACCTTTTTAGTGTAAATTATAAATAGTTGTGAATGAAAATCCATTTTTCCTTCAATGGAATGCGATATCTGTAAAAGAAAAAAAAAGTACCAGTGCATCCATTTAGAACTGAAATTTGAATAATATTTATTTCGTATTTCTTAATATTCCTTTTCAGTGAAACTTTTATTTGTACATTTCTATATACGTCACTGCACGAATGAAACATATGTTACTTAACCCTAGAACACTAACCATCAATTAAAGTTACACCACTACTAACCATGGGTATATCATACCCGAATTTGAAAATATCAAAAAAATATATTAAATATATATCTTTATTTGAAATATTTTACACGCAGGCACTTCAAACTCTGTACTTTGAGTTAACATTAATAGAAACTGAAAAAAATTATTTAGGTAAAAATATCAGGTACTGAAAATTGTAATTAAAAATAGGAAAATTTGCGCTGAGTACTATATACCCATAGTTAGTGTTCTAGGGTTAATTTCCCAAAGTAATTAGTTTCAAAGAAGCATTAAATTATAAATTTAACTTGCAAACTGTGCAAGCTTTAGTATCGCAAGACTAAAAATATTCCCGCATGGTTTTGTGGTTTCTTCATTTTTCTGTGAACTTTAAAGAAAATAAATTCTTCGGGTAGATATATTCCGTAAGGATTTTCAGCAATCACAATGGTCTGTAATGGGCGAAGCGGGCAACAATCATTTGATTACATGGGAATTCCGGCGGCATTAATGTAGACCCGTTTTATTTGTCCCTAACAAAACCTCTCCTCCTAAAACGAAGTTGTTACATTCAAGGTAACATAGTTCAACATGTTTACAAAATAACTAAAGTAAAATAACACCAACGCGCATGCGTCATGTACTACCAGACAACATCCCGAAAAGGTTAGCAACAATAGCAACGAGGGAAATCAATATGGCGGAAAAAATTAACTGTGAGATCTTCTCAGTTGATCTCCAAATTCATACTTAAAAAAAAAATGGCGGAAGCCGCTTGCAGGATGAGTAAAATTTTTATTGAGAGTGAAATAAATAAACTTTACTGTTCAAATTTGTTGAGAAGGCCAACTGAAAATGAATCACTTGAAGAACATAAGAAAATGACCGGTAAGCTTTGATGATAAACTGTGGACTTGTATTGAATCAAGTCTGCTTCAAGTGTAACACATGCTTGCATTAAAGTGCAACAAAATGATTAAACAATGCTCCATAACTAATTCAAACACCAATTCTTACGAACTCCACTCTGCGACCCTTATCATACAAATGAAACTTTCACTAATCTACCTCTATTACTATGGCAGATGTTCGGACGAGTTACATTTTTTAATTCCACCAGTTCAGGGCTAGGGCCGACCAAGCTATGTTCACCATCCCTATTCTCTTTGTGTTCCTTTGATAGGGAGCAATTTCCATTCAGACAGCTTCTTCTCTAGAATTGTTGCTTTGTTGCAAAGACTCCTGAAAGAATGCTTTCTCGACAACTACAATCTTGGTCTCTTTACGTCCAATGTCAACCGATATCTCTCCAACACATCCTCATAATATGAATTTCTTACCTCGTCCTTCCCCTCACTTACAACACGTTTACTTTGTAACACACTACCTTGAGTGGCTGTTGGGCCGTGTATTGGCTGAACTAAAAGTAAATAAAAAGAAAGAATTAATAGAAACGAATCACAGATCATTTTTGTCTGTTTTTTGAGAGCATTGTCATTTTTATACATTAATTTATTCTTTATTTTTTTCTTATATAGATATGACTCTTCAACCCTTAGCCATCCGGTCTTCGTCAGGTCTCTGTTGTTCTTTCTTGCTGACCATGCTTATGTATTATATCCTATTAGTTGATTCTTATCTTTTTTCGTTCCTTTCATGTTTTTTTGATCGTTGCTGACGAACTAGTGTATGTGGATTCCACTACTCAAAAGCTAATTGCAACAGCTTAACCTTGTATCCAATAAGCTACTAAGTATCATTTTGAAGCCTTTAAACCTAAATTAAGATTATTATATCAGGTTCATACAGGCTTGGTTACATCTGACTGAATTTCTTTGATACGAAATTGTCATGATTATGCGTTAATTTATTTACTATTTTATTTACTTGATAGACACAACGCTTCGACCAGATATCTTCTGGTTTCGTCAGTTTCTTGTTGTTTTTGTTTGTCTATGATAGGGTTATTATTATTTTTATATTTCGGACGATGCAATAATCAAATGACAAGTGTCATGAAACACAAACTACTATCTTCTAGAATGTACAGCCAAAAATAAGAACAATATTTGTATGAAGACAACTGAAAGGTACATAGCTGACATGTTGTGCCATTAAGAACATCTATAAAAAAAGAATAAAACAAATGTTCAAATAAATCAATGTATAACATTGATATGTAATCATCTCAAAAATGAAAAATATATATTAGAAACATATGAGCTCGATTTGGTGACAAATGTTGAAACTTTTGATCTTAGATTTCACGTCTTGAACATTATATTAATTGATCTACAGGGCGGTCCGAAAGACTTGTCACCCCTATCTAATATGATTTTTTTATTTCAGATGGCTGACATGATAATGATGGATGTTCATACAGGCCTTCTCGATGTATGACAGCGTCAATGAAAGTGAATAAACTGAATCCAATACATGTGCTTTGTATTACTTGTTCTTCTATTGTTCTCATTACTTTTTGGTAATGGGTGACATGACTTTCGGACCACTCTATATAAGATTACATGAAAAGTAAACCATTTTGTGGCACTAAAATGATGGTGTTCATACAGACATTCTCGATGTGTGACAGCGTCAATAAAAGTGAATAAACGGAATTGTATTAACTGGATTACTTGTTCTATTGTTCTCATTAATTTTTGGTATGGGTGGCAAGACTTTCAGACCACCCAGTAGCTTGGTTTCGCAATGGTTGTGAGTTCAATCTTAGACGCAGTCTGATTCAAGATTTCCAAAACTAAAACTGTACCACAGACATGATCTAGTATTGAACAAAAAAAAAACTATCTTCAGAAAAAAAGTAATGATGAAGTGTTTATTGATTCCAGGTATAACTAGAAAAAAAACATAAATATTCAGATAGAATAAAATAGATATTAAAATAATAATAATGAAGAGTATACTGACCCGGAGCTGAGGGCTAAAAATTCAGCGCCTGGTCCAGGAGTTGTTCCCCCTTCTTCATAGACTTGAACCATTTTTGTGACTCTCTTATCAGCTTGTCAGCTCTGTTCTAACCTCACTAATGTCACGCCACCTGACAGCCCGTATTCCTCAATCAACTGCAAGAATGTTTGAAGCCGCCCCTTCACCAACATTTCTTCTGTTGCCTACCTTGATGCACGCGTGTACAGTCGGCGTTATCTCCTTCAAGGCTGATCTTGAGCGAGTGTCCACGGCGGCTGGATCATTTACTTTGAAAAATAATGGTACTTTAGAATTTCTTGGTCCTATTTCGCCACAATTCCACCAAGTACTCTATCAGCAAAACAGCTGATCCACTCTTGAGCAGGCTTCGTGGGAAAGCCACTGAAAGTCTGCAATATTTTCACCTGCTTACACTCAGTTGGCATTAAAAAAATAGACTGGGAACTATACA